GTCGCGACGACGGGGATGGAGTTCAGCACCAGGCTGGGCCGCCCTTGTCGTGTGCAGTTGCGGGCGAAGCGGCAGAGTCGACGTCGCCTCCCGCGGATGCACTTGGCCACGATATTCAGATTGTCAGCGGGTTTCGTGCATGCTTGGAGTGTTGCTATTTTGTTCGTGAACGTGACGTTCTGCTGCGTCAGCTTGGGAGGGAATGCACAGGTCACCCCTTGAAAGGCGACAGTGCTGGACGCGTTCGTCGGCAGCGGCGTGATCTGATTCTTCAGGGGTTGGACCCTGAGTCGAGGCAGCGTTTGCCCGAGTGAGTGAGGGTTGCAGCATGCGCTCTGTGCTCGCCTTGTTGTCTGTGTGTGCCCTGGAGGGACTCTGAAGGCTCGCAGCAAGGAGCCCGCGGCAGAAGCCCCTTGGTGGCCCTTGTGGCGGGTTGCACGCCTCGCGTTCTGGCGTGTGCTCGTCTTTTGTTTGCGGGCCCCGACGTGGTGGCTCCTGTGCTGCCGTCATGCTGGGCTCGCACCGACCTCACGCACGCTCGCGTGGCTGGCGTGTGGGTGCTCTCTCGCGCCACACGCATATGCACGCTTCGCGTGTCAGTCTGTGTGCTCGTCGGCGATGGTCCTCCAAAGTTGGGTGATGTCGTTATGTGACTTAGCACACGCTTCGCGTGGTCTACTTTGGACTGTGCATTGCGCTTCGCGCGACGCTCGCCCGAAGGGTGGAGCTCCGCCGTGCCTTTTGCTGTGGCGTGGACTGTGGGGTCCTGTCGTAGCCTTGCATGGTTGATCCGGCCGAGGGGCTCGGTTGTGGCGGCCCTAGTGGCTGCCGTGTGTACAGCTTGGCTGTGCGCACCTGCACGATCAAAAAAAAAACGCACGCACGCACACAGGCGCACACGCACACACGCACACACGCACACAAGCACACACGCACACACGCACACACGCACGCACACCACGCACACGCACGCACGCACACACGCACACAAGCACACACGCACACACACACAAACACACACACACACACACACACGCACGCCCCACGCACACTCCGCTCACACTTCACGCGCACCCCTCGCACACCCCACGCGTACCCCACGCGCACCCCACGCGCACCCCACGCACACCCCACGCACGCCGCACGCATACCCCACGCACACCCCACGCACACCACGCGCACACACACACACCTACACACACTCACACACTCACACATACACACACGTACTCACACACATACACACACACACACGTACACACGCACACACGCACACGCGCACACGCACACGCACACGCACACTCTATCTCTCACACACACGCGCTCACACACACACGCACGCACACGTACACACACACACCGCTGCGAGCGCGGTGGCGGATCTTGGTCAGGGAATTGCAGGAACATCCAGTGGATCAGACAGGCGAGGGAGGCAGCAGTCAAGCTGCCAAGCAGGGGAATCAGCCTGAACCTACGTACCCAGGAGTGGAATTGTTGAGCCTACCATTGAAGAAGCAGGATGATGTAGATGAGAAAGGGGGACATGACGAGAGGGACCAGGCACGAAGATGAAGAGGGAGAAGGAGAAGACGGAGGAGAAGGAGGAGAACGAAAGGCAACAGCAAGAACCGAAGGAGTGGGGGCGACGACGACATTAGCGATGGCGACGAGGAGGGGGAGGACGACGACGGCAGGAGTGAACCATGGAGTCTTTCGCGGATCTTTCGCTCTACGAGCTTCTTGGAGGCTTCGGCGAGGCATTTTGGTGCGTTGGAGTTCTCGTGGGGCCCTCTTGGCGGCCTTTCGGGCCCGTTTGGGGTCGTCCTAGAGACCATCGAAGAAAGCATAGGGCGGCGTGAATTAGCGGCGCCCCCTTTGAGCCCGACATCAAGTTTCGTGGAGCCCTCTTAGGGCGCTCTTGGGGCCTCTTGGGGCCGTCTTTGACCTCTTCTGGGCCCCTTTCTGGGATCTCTTGGGGCCGTTTTGATGCTTCAGAGTAGGCGAGAAGCCAAACAGCATTGAACATCCGATGGTATTTGAACCAGTTGGGAGTATGTGGCCACTTGGAGCCGTGTCGGGGTGGCCAGGTGGCCTCTTTCAGGCCTGTTCGAGGTCATCTTGAGCCATCTTGGTCTAAAGGGAGCCACCCTACCTTCGAGGCCATCTTGGACTATCCGAGCTCCTCTTGGAGCCATATTGGGGCATCTTAGGTGCCTCACTTTCTCGGGACCCCCCCGGTCCAGACCAATGGATGGGGCAGGAGGAGGGGTCAAGCCGCAAACGGGAACGCCACAAGCTGTCGCGACTACTCCCACCCGCCCTCCCCCCACATACGCAACAAGCGAGACTCAGCACAGGCAGAGGTCGCCATCAGATGGATAACCGCTTGGGAACCACTGCATCTGCCAGAGGCGCGACGCTCGATAGGTGCGTCACGTGTGCCAGGTGCCCCAGGTGCCCAGGCATGCCGTGTACGCCTACCGCGCCAGATGCGCTTCGTGCGCCACGTGCGCCAAATGTGCCACATGCTCCAGGCGCGCCAGGTGCGCCACGTGCGCGACGTGCTCAGAGTGCGCCAGGTGCACCAACATACGTGACAGCACGCATGGGACCAAATGTGTACCCCCCCCCCGTACAACACTTGTCAACATTCCGTGTAGAGTAGCGTCGGGGTGGTCAGCATGATGTATGTCATTTGCGCCCGCAAGAAGTTCGTCGCATCTTTGTTGCAGGGGTAGTTGGGCGAGCGCGCAGCGGACAAGTAGGCCCCCCTCCCCCCGACCTGCCTGCCAAAAGCCATTGCAAAGTGCTTGCGAAGTGCCCGCTCACGGTCCAGATGATGGCGCCACGTGCATGTCGTAGTGTCTTTTGACAGGTGTGGTGGGGGCTGGGTTCATTTTCCGGTCGGCGACCTGGTCGAGTGGGGGAGGGGGCCCTTCTTAATACCAGGCAATGATGGGCCCCCCCCGAAGGGGAACAAGGGGGTTGGAAGAGGAAGCTTCCTGGATCACCGGCGCTTGGAGCTCTGGTGGGATTCGCGCCACGCCCCGCTCGACGTGCGGTGCCCCCCCCCACCCCACCCTGATGAAAAAGAAGGATAAGCGGAGTGGACGCCACTGCAACGCTGCGGCCAGGAAAAGCTCGGGTGGACGAGTGGGAAGAGCTCGTTGCTGCCCGAGGAGGGAAGAGGCACAGAGGGAGGAGGCATGGAGGTGGGAGGCATGGAGGTGGCCTCCGTGGGGCGAAGTGCCCCAGAGTTGCTTGGATTTTGGAGGCAGTTGTCCAGCGTGACTCGCACGTAGCAGTGAAACCTGGCGCCCAGAAGGAGGTATGAGAGAAGGGCAGAAGAAGGAGGATGCCAAGAACAGGTAAAGTCGATATTCTGGCAGAAGCGCGTAGACACTAGAAGCCCGTTGCTGTTTGGGTGGTCCTTTCTTCTAGCTGTACCCCCATAGCCTCGGCAACTTTACTTTGTGCCAGGCTCACGCGTGAGGACTTCGAGGAGGTTGTCTTCAGGGAGTGCCGATATCTTCCTATACAAACTAATTTGCCGATCGCGGAGCGTTTCGCTCTTCGGTGGCTCCTGCCCACGTTCCAGAACTGCATTGTTGGACATTCTGAACACACACACACACACGCACACGCAGTCGGGATTCTGAGAATACGTCGCAAGCATTGCACATGGAAGCTGCCTGAGCGGGTTCTATCCGCTTGCAGTGTCCAGATCGTGTTCTAGATTCGCCAGCAACTTGGGTAACATCCAACTGCCTATAATTTCTTTGCACAGCTGGATGTTTCGTTCGCGGCGGGTATTAGCACGCGACCAACAGCTAGACGGCACTTGAAGCTGATATTTGACGTCACCAATTTTCCAAGCCACTTCAGGTTTTACTGAGCAGTTTCCGTTCAAGGCTTCTCGTAAGTACACCGCTTGGTCACCAAATGGAGTTGAGCGAATTTGTTCTTTGGCGCCACCATGTTGATTTCGTTTATGTAGCATCCATGCCAGACGTTGGTACCTGATCGCCAAATGAGATATCGGCCGATAGTTGTCGAATGGCCTTCGGCCAATCCCGCCACTGTGCTTGGGTTGTGGGTATGAAACCTATTGGATGTTCGTTGGGATCTCGTGGGAGGCCTCTCGGGGGTCTCTTCGAGGCAGGTTGGAGGCATCTTGGAGGCTGTTTTGGGGCCTCTTGGGGGCTGTTTTGGAGCCTCTTGGAGCCTTTTGGGAACCTCTTGGGGGCCGCTTGGGGGCCTCTCGGGGGCCCCTTGGGGGCCTCTTGGAGCCTCCTGGGCGCCTCTTGGAGCCTCCTGGAGGCATCTTGGAGCGGAAGGCATGGATTGTCGGTTCGTGTTCCCTCTCTTAGGCTTTTTTTTTACGGCCGTCTTGGGGCCCTCTTGGGCTATCTTGGGCGCCTCTTTGGCTGCCTCTTGGGCTGCCTTGGGGCCCTCTGGGGCCGTTTCGGGGCCCTCTTGGAGGCCTCTTGGGCTGTCTTTGAGCGGTCTTGGGGTCTTCTAGGACGCCGAAAAGAACAGAAAGCCACAAATGTTCAAAAACCTTAGGATAATCAATGAGGTTGGCCCCTTGAAGCCCTCTCGGGAGGCCTCTTGGAAGCCTCTTGGGGCGTTTTGGAGGCCTTGAGCCGTCTGGGGGCCATCTTGAGCGTCTTGGAGCGATCGTTCGGCGACTGGGGGGCCTCTTTGACTGTCTTGGCGGCCTTTTGGAGCCCTCTTGTCCTGTCTTGGGGCCCTCTTGGGCCCAGAAAAGTTACGCAGAGAGACGCTGGGAAGCCCAGGGGAACCGCGGGAAGCCCCGGGATATTTGAGAATTGGGAGCCCCGGCCCCTGGGGGACTCCTCAGGACTGAGGGCCGAGGCTCAGGGGATGCGGCAAAGAGCCTGAGGACACGCCCACTCCGTGCCCAGAGGCACGATGGCGGATACGTAATCAGCCCCAGTCAGCCGGGTGGGGAAATACATTTCTGGCGCGCCGCCGAGGCTGGCTGGCCTAGTGGCTGTGGCTGGCCCAGCAGCGGCGGCGGCGGAGGCCCGCCGCTCGGCAACGGCTGCGGCCCCAGCGGCTGCGGCGACCCGCCGCGCAGCGGCAACGGCTGCGGCCCCAGCGGCTGCGGCGGCCAGTCGGGCCCTGAAGGGGCCTGGAGCTTGGGGAGCAAGGAATACCGCGACTCCTCTCTTGGGGTGCATTCTGACTGGAGTCTTGGGGCGAATCCAGAGGGCATCCCAGGAGGCCCTCCAGAGGCAAAATCGAGGGAAGGCCAGCGGTATGGATACCTTTTTCTCCTCCTGAGGAGCGGCTGGCAGGGCCTGCTGGGCGACTGGGCGCGGGGCGAAGTCAGCGAGTGGTGGCCCACGCCGCCAGACGCCGCGGCCCCACGGGATACATGCGAGAGGGCTGCAGCTCCCGTGCGCTGGGGCGCCCAAGGCGCTGGACTGACCGGCAACAGGCCCGCGGAGAGCAGCACCAGGCCCGCCCCGCGCCTGCTGACAGCTGCGTCCAGCCAGATCGTCGAGCCTCGACCTTCCTCCTGCGCTGCTGGCACCTCAGGTGGTCGTCTTCCCTGACGTCGCCTTCTTGCGAAAATGTGGAGACGGCGTGGTCTTTGGCCCACGTTCGGCTTCCGGGGGCCCTCCCAGGCCCCGGGGCCGCCAAAATGCCATTCAGGATGGATGATCGCTTGTCAAACTTAATTGATCCGTGCTCGTGGGGTGCCTTGGGCCGGGTCGGGGGATGGTATGGTACTTCCTCTCTTCCTCGACGGGACGCTCAAGCCTGTCGTGTTCAGGCCGCTCGCGGGGTGGGCTGCAGCCAGCCCACACTGTACGTGCTGCTACCCCGCGAGCGGCTGCTCGCGCAAGGCTTCCACACCACGTGGCGTCGGGCCCTCGCCATAGGGTTCGCCTTCTCTTTCTTGGGCGACACAAGGCTGCTGGAGTGGGCCCTCGAGTCGCCCATTCTGGCCGCCAACGCGAGTCACCCTCTCTCGCGCAACGAGCATATCTCCCCGAGGCTGAGCTTTACTGAGTGCGTTGGCCTGTCTATGAGCTCGGTGCACAATTGGAGTCGGATGTACCGCAACACGGGCGGAGGCCAGGGCGAAGTCGTACTGATGTTGATGAGGCTTTATCCGTTAAAAAGCGACATGAGGTGGATCTATGTTCGGCCAGACCGAAGTTTGGGCTCCGTCGACATCGAGGATCGGGCGAGGATCACCGCCGAACGACAGCCGAACGCCACCTACGCCCACTTCCCCGCCCTGTCCGCCGAGGAGAAGACGGCGGCGATCGAGGCGGGCACCGAGAAGCAGCTCAGTATGGAGTTTGGCGCTGCACGTTGGCGCTCATGGGGTTCTATGTTGGGATGGGCCCGCAGTGCTGCGGTCGCTATGTAGGCGACGTCGTCGTGGGGCACCAGCGGAGGCCTCGTCTTTTTCGCCTGGAGAGCCGCGCTGTACTTCAGGGCCTGGCATTGGGCCAAGTGGGCGGTGGAGAAGCTGGACGACTCGCACACATTCCTGATGGAGCTGGACGGCTTCAGGGCCTACCTGTGCGACCTCTACCAGGACGGTCGGCTGGAGTTGCCGATGTTGCTCTTCTCCTTCCTGATGGCTTCCACCCCCGTGTTCTGGAGTTGGTGCTGCCGCCGTGGCTTGCCCAGGCTTGGCGGCGCCAGCCCTCCAGGGAGCGATGTGGACAGCAATGGGGAGGCCGGGCATTCGGTTCACGAGTCGGACTCGGAGTCGGAGGGAAGCAAGGAAGTCTCGGATATAAGGAAGATGATGCAGGACCTGATGGAGGAGATGCATCGCGATCGTCGAGACCGTCGCCGCGCGGAGGCGGATACCGAGGGAAGTTCAGCTCGGGGCGGGGGAGACAGTCCTCGCCGCTCAGATGGGCCATATGCGTGGAGTCCTGGGTCGAGCGCGAGAAGCTGGGAGCGCGTCCCATCTCCTGCCGACATGGGCTTGCACGTTGACCGCAAGATGGATCGCCTGCGCCAGTTCGAGAAGACCATCCAGGCGGACCGTGCATCAGGAGCTCGCCGCGCGGTCGTAGGCCAGACGTCGACCGCAGCGACGACGGGATCAACAGCAGCCCCGACCATCAACTTGGACGAGGTCTCGGCGGAGAAGGTTGGTGAACATCGGGCCGCTGCGCGAGTCCTTGAAGGATCTCAGGGTGCGCCTGATGGAGAAATTGACAAAGCTGAAATCGGCCCCGACGTTCGAGCTGCCCCCAGGGCTGACGGCCCGCGTCGCCCCCGACCTCTCAGTCCAGACCTACGGCAAGTATGGCAGCATGGGCAAGTTCGCGACGGACTGGGCCAATCAGAGGGAGCTCTACAATAATCTCATCGGCCACGAGATGCTCTTACACTGCCTGACCTTGGATCGCATGCTGGGGGCGTCCCCCGACTTCCTCGCGACAGCAGGCTGCGAGATCCTGCGTTCGAGGGTCTATGCGCTGAAGCGGGCCTTCGAGGATCTACGCCCGATGTCCGACTTGAAGCAGCCCCGCGGTGCATCAGCCAACAAGTGGAAGTCGAAGGTGCGTTGGGACTTGGCGAGCGAGCTGGACTGGCGCTCCGCGATGGAGGGGAGGGGTCTCGTCCGAGCGTCGAAAGGATCTCGCCGCGCGGCCGCAGCAGAAGGCGCCGTTCCAGAAGTACCTGCACAAGGCAGGCTCCGAGGGCGCCAAGGTGGAGGAGGAGGGCTGACGGTTTTCTACGTGGACGTTTTCGCCGAGGCCGAGCTCCCTCGGCGCTGGGCGCGGGCGCTGGCGCTCGGGGCCCGCCTGCTTCGACAGCGGCCGCGCGCGCGGGCAAAACCTACGCGGCTCGGTTCCTTGGCCCCTTGGAGCTGCTGGCGGCCCGTCGACCTCGTGACGCCTGGTGGCTCGCATCGTTCTCTTCGGCCACGCTGCCTGGGCCATGGCGGCGTCTGGCGCAGTTCCGCCGCCAGTGGCTCGACCTCGCGACCGCGATCTCCTGCCGGATATGCCGCTGCCCCCTTGGGATGTCGTGGCCAACCGCATGGAGTCCGCCCCCCGTGGCGCCATCAAGAAGGTGAGGTTTCTGACCGACGGGCTCATTCGTGTTTTGCACTCCCTCTCGCGGGGGGCGGGGGGATCGGTGGCCGGGTTGGGGCGCCTGCGGCTCCGTGGAAGCGATCTACCTCGCTCCAGAAGGGGGCGGCCTTGGAGCTTCTGGATTCGTGGGCCTCCTGGCAGGGCCACGTCCACGACGTCGACGCGGGCCTGGGCGCCGCCGTCGAGCGCGCCCTCGCTGGCCGGGCCTCGCCGTACGAGGGCGAGGGGGTCACCGAGTCCCTGGGCGTGGATTCGAAGGGTCGACGCGCGCTGCCGAAGGGCGCGATGTGCTCAGTCGACGCGGGCGAATTGGCGCCCCCTGCGCCTGGGACCGCCCCCGTCAAGCTGCTGGTCGACATTTGTCATCTTGCGGTCGAGTATTTTCTTGGACATGGAGGGCCGCATGCCGAGGCGACCCGATTCTGTTATGATGCGAGAGTTGGAGAGCCAGGTCGTCTACCGGGACCCCGCGTTGAAGTCTCATGGGGCTCGCTTGCGCCTGGCGGAGCGACTCTGGAGAGGTGGCGTGCTGACTTTCACCGTGGAGAAGAAGGAGTCGGTGTCGCTCTTCGGGGTCGTCAAGAAGTACGTGGAGTCGGAAGTGGACGGCGACCTGGTCCTGCAGCGGCATGCGCGCGCGATTTGGGACGAGCGACGGGCCGACCTCCGCCGGGGGCGGCCGCCCTACGTGCCGCTCGGGAGCCTCATTCGCGAACCTGGACCTCTCCAATATCGAGGCGGAGGGGTGCGTCTACTCGGCGGTCGGTGACATGCCCGACATGTCCTACAGGTTGGAGACGCCCCCGCAGTGCTGGCCCTAGTTCAGCTTGGACGAAGTTGGCGTGGACGAGCTCGTGCTCTACATGGCCGAGCGGGCAGTCGACGTCGAGGCGCCCGCCGACTCGGGCTTCCTGGCCCTGAAGGCGCTTGTCATGGGGTGGTCGTGGACGCCGTTCCTGGCGCACTCCGCCGTGCAGGCGTGCGTGGAGACGGCTCTCGGCGAAAGCTCGGTTCGCGCTCGCATGGCCCCCGGCGCCCCATCTCCACGGCGACGCAAGTGGCTGCGAGGCGCTCAAGTGGGCCCACATGGACGACTGCGGCGCGATGGCGAGCAGCACCAGCGCGAAGGGCCGCGAGAAGGAGCTGGCGTCGTCCGTGGGCCTCGCGGTCCACAAGGAGGAGGAGGGCGAGGGGCTCGAGTCTTCGGGGGGCTGTCTTGAGGGGCCGTCCATGTGTGATCGGGTCGTGCCCGTTGAAGACTTGTCGCCTGGCCCTCGTGGCCCTCGCCTTGGTGGAGGGGCCCTACTGGGCAGCGGCCACGTTGGGGCGCCTCGTCGGGCTCTGGGCCTGGGCGGCGGTGTTCCAGCTAACAAGCCTTGCCATCTTCGACCAGGTCTACCACGAGATGCGACGCCCTCCGAGCCCCGCCGCTGAATTCCGCCTGTCCGCCGAGGCGCGGGCCGAGCTCGCCGCCGCCGCCTACTGCGCCCCGCTCACGGCCACCTGCCTGGAGTCGCCCTGGGCCCGCCAGGCTTTCATGGCCGACTTCAGCGACTTAGGCTACGGGGTCGCCGTCGCCCAGGCCGCAGTGGAGGAGATTCGCGCGGCGCCCAGATACTGCGAGCTGCGAGGCTGGACCATCGCCGTCGAGGACCTCTACACCATCGCCGAGGAGAGCGCCTGGCAGGAGGGCTGCGGCGGCTACGCCCGCGACATCGACGAGTTTGCGCAGGCCGCGGCCCCAGTCATGCGTGGCCCGAGCGGGCGCGCGTTCCGCTTCCTCTACCTCTTCGCGGGGGTTCGGCGGCCAGGAGACTTCGAGGAACACCTGTGGCGGCGCGCGGAGAGAGCTGGCACCCTCGTCGAGGTCTGGCCCCTGGACGCGATCATCGACCCGAAGCACGACCTTACCGACCCCGAGATTTTGAGCGTCACCGTGAGGCTCGTCGACAAGGGCCACTTCCATGGGGTGTTGGCATCGCTCCCGTGCTCGACCTGGAGCCGCGCCCGTTTTCGAGGTCATGGGCCCCGCCCTCTGCGCACGCGCGCGGAGCCGTTGGGGCGCACAGACATCAGGCTGACCTCATGGGGGCGGCGGCGGCTCGAGCTGGGGACCAAGTCGCTCATGACGGCGCTGACGGTGATTCGCGCAGTCTGCGCGGCCAGCGGGGTTGTCCTGTCGGAGCACCCGCCCGACCCAGGAGCGTCACCCTACCCGTCGATCTGGGACCTCGTGGAGTTGAAGGACCTCGTCAAGGATTTTGGAGGGTGGTCAACCACCTGGACCAGTGCCGCTACGGCGCCCCCCCCCATGAAGCCGACCATGGTCGGAGGAGTGGCGGGGGCGCCGCCGCTCGATTTTGCCTCACCTGCCACCGCGAGGGACGCCATCGGGTTACGCTCGAAGGCCGAGAGAAGCCAGGAGGTCCGACCTTTCGTGCCGCTGCCGCGCAGACCTATCAGCCCGAGTTCTGCGATGCCCTCAGCGAGGTCATCATCGAGGCTTTCCTGCGCATGGGGGCGAAGAGGCTCGGGCCCGAGGTCGAAGGCCCACTGCGGTCGCCTGCGTCGGCGACGTTGGGGCCATCACGACCTGGGAGATCGAGGGAGGTGCGACGAGGAGATCGGATCCGAGCGCCCCCGCTGTCCCACACTTGGCTTCCGCTGACGAGATGGAGGCCCTTCTATTTCGGCAAGTGGCGCGAGACCTAGCACGCCAACATCAACGAGACGCGTGCCATCGTGGGCCTCTTGAGACACCTGGCCAGGTCCTCGAGGTCGTGGGGCCTCCGCGCCCTCCCCCTGGCCGACAGCATGGTGGCCCTGGGCGCGCTGGGGAAGGGCCGATCGAGCGCCCCAGCGCTGCCGCGCCTGTGCCGTCAGGCGGTGGCCATCACCCTGGCGCCTCGCATCTACGGCCCCTACCGCTACGTGCCGTCCGAGGTGAACGCGGCGGACGGCCTGTCCCGGGGGGCTTCCTAGGGGCGGCGCCCGAGACCGTGCGACCGCACAGCCACCGTGCGACACCAGCTGCTCCGCCAACGTCAGGGGAGGTGCCGCTGAGACACGAGCTGCGCGCCCTTGGTCAGGCTTGCGCAGGATATGCTGGTGGCTGACGCTTCCCATTTTCGACCAGGTGGGGCGCGCGTCGGCTGGCCGCGAGCCTCTGCAGTCCATGGGCGCGACCCCGATGACCAAGAGGGGCCCATTGGCCTGAGGCAACTACGCGATGGACCCGAACGCTGGCTTGCTAGATGGTGGCCTCGCGCGCTTGCTCGCGCACTCAGCGGCTGACGCTACCGCCTCGCAGTGGGCCCCCAAGGTGCGGCAGTTCCTCAACTGTTGTATTCAGCGAGGCTGGCAGCTGACATCCGAGTCGGAGGTCGACCGGGCGCTGGCAGACTACATGGACATCCAGTGCTACGGCGAGCGCAAGAGAGCGACCCTCGGCTCGGTGGTCCTGTTCGGCATGTTGGTGGTCTGGCCTGAGCTTCGCAACGAGCTGCCCCTCGCCCTGAGAAGCCTCAAGAGTTGGCAGTAGCTGGCTGGCACGAGCGAGGGTGGCCCACTCCTGGGGGAGGCCATCTACGCGATCGCCATCTACATGATCGAGCAGGGGCACTACGTGGAGGCCCACTGGACACTCACGCAGTACGACGTCTACGGCCGAGAGCAGGACATGGAGATGTTGAGGATCGGGGGCGTCGTGTGGGGCGGCCAGTGCATGGCCCTGGCCTTTGGTGTCTCGAGCCGCGGGGAGGAAGTCAAGACGGGCACCGACCAGGCCGCCGTCATTCGGCGGGGCGCGGTCGCTAACTTAGTCCTGGGCCTGCGTGACTTCAGGACGGGCAAAGACGAGAAGCTCTTCGGCATCGACCAGATCCGCTTCGGGAAGCCATGGCATCAGGCCTGCCGCGCGCTGGGCATGCCATGGGCGCCGCCCCCACATGGGATCCGCCACTCGGGCCCCGGCGAGGACATTGCCCGAGGCCGCGCGTCGCTCGAGCAGGTCAGGCGTCGTGGGAGGTGGAAGGCCCTGTCCAGTGTCCAGCGCTACTCCAAGACGTTTGCCCTGACCCAGTTCCGTGCGAGGATGCCAGAGGTGGTCGGTGAGTCGGGCATGCGAGCGGTGCGGGACCTGAAGGCAGAGATCTTGCAAGCCCTGAGGAGGCGTCCACGCCCGCGCGGCAGCCTCCCCGAGGCCCTCGAGAATGCCATCAAGAAGAATCTAGCCAAGGACGTTGCCGCCGAGCTGATGAAGACCAAGAGCTCCAGGGCGCGCAGTTCCAAGAAGACCAACCAGACCGACGATGACGACCAATATAGCCCTGGAGGCCTCTTTTCGGACGAGGCGCTCGGTGAGGACACGGGCTGGTGGACTCAGCGATGGGGGCGCCCTTCGGGGTGGCTAGGGGGGCCATGCGAGGGCGCCCTAGGGACGGTGGCCCACGGGCGCGATCGTCGCCCCGTAGTTCGATGATCAGGCGTGGCGCCAGCGCGTGCAGCAGTGTGTCTTGGACGCCTTGTTCTGCAGCTGCGCTGGGCGCCACGACAGATGTTGAGCTTCCCAGCGTCGGGGGCACAAGTGGTGTTTAAGGGCGAAATATACTTCGAGAGCCACCCGACGCTGGCCGAGCAGTCGCCACCACCTTCTCAGTTCTTTCTGCAGCGTCGGGGACACAAGTGGTGTTTGAGGGCGAAGTATACCTCAAGAGCCACCCGGCGCTGGCCGAGCATTGCCAACACATGATCAGTTCTTTTTGCAGCGTCGGGGGCACAAGTGGTGTTTGAGGGCGAAACAAACCTCCAGAGCCACCCGACGCTGAGTTCAGGCTTGGTGCAGTTCTTTTTTGGCCACGTGATGTGGATTTCTTTCTCAGGTCGTCGCAGCTTCCCGCCGCGCCCAGCCCTGCTGTGACAACGGCGGCGTTGCCGGGCAAAGGATGCGGGTATTGGAAGTTCGGACTCGCGCCTGTTTCGTATATCAAGATATACACGGCCCATGTGGGCCCTCTTTGTGCTGCTGGAGAATTAAGGCGCGAATGTCGGTGTCAGATTTCAGGTGTTTTGATTTAGTCTCTCAGCTCTCGCTGGCCCCCGCCTTCCCCTTGGGCTTGCAGGGTACTGATCGTTTGTCAAACTTGATTGATCCGTGCTCGTGGTGTGTATTGGGGGCCGGGTCGGGGGATGTCATGATGCCTCCTCTCTTCCTCGACGGGGCGCTCAAGCCTTCCCGCCGCGACCCGCCTTTGCCACGAGCTCCCGTCACAGTCAGAGTTTACGAGTAGTTGAGTCCTCCGAGTTCGGACTCAGAGGATGTTCGGGCTCACGTCCGTGGCGCGTGAGCCGCGTGATGTGCGAGTTTGCGATCGCCTGCTTCGTAGGTCGAGATATGCTCGGCCCATCTGGGCCCCCTTTGTGCTGCTGGAGAATAGAGGCGTGAGTATCGGTGTCAGTTTCCTGGTGCTTTGATCTAGTCTCTCAACTCTCGCTGGCCCCCGCCCCCCCCCCCCCCCTCGAGCTTGCAGGATAGAAACTGGCGCCGGCGCAGGGGGAGGGGCCCAGACCTTTTGGGCAGCCACGCTGCAGCAACAAACGCATGAGGGGGGATGTTTGGGTTGGCCAGCGCCGCGAAGCAGGCAGACTTAAAGGTCGTGGACCAGGGCCCCGATATCCGCGTCCATGTGTGGAGGCATGCTATTGGGCCCAGACTCGACTGATGACCTCCCGACGCCCTTGCCTTGTCTTTCCATTCCTTGTCCCGTTGCTCCTCCTCGTTCGAGCTTCGAGCTATTGGCCCGGGGTTTTGTCGAACGCGGCCGCCCCCCATCAGGGGCGGTCGCCCCTGAGGGGCGGATCAAGATAGCTGCCTGTAGAAGCAGGGGAAGAGAACGAGAGGCCCCCCAGGGGGCGAGGTAGGCCAGCGCGGTTCTGGAGGCGGCTTGCGGCGCGCGCGGGCTGTTGCTCCGCCTCCACTCCTTAATCCCGCCCTCCTCTCTTGCCGTAAGCGGGGTGGCGCGAGTGCCTCTCTCCCTTCCCATCGTCGGGCCCCCCGCGAGGCCGCTCCCTGGGAAGCCCAGGGTGCCCGCTGCCTGCTGAGGCGGACAGAGGGTGCCCAGGCGGTTCTGGGGATGTCCACCAGCGGAGGGGAGGTTCGCGCCACCCCCGGCGGTGGCCAGTGGCGGTAGGTTGGAGGGGGGCAGCGGGCGGCGGCGGCATTCGCGGCCCTCAAGCCACCGCGGCGCCACGTGACACTCGTGACCCTTAGGCCCGTCGCGCGCGAGGCCTTCGCGGCAGGGCGCAGGCCCCTCCCCCCCCCCCCTTCGTGGAGTCGGCGTTGGAGGCTCAGGCGCTCGGGGCCCCAGCGGAGGAGGGATTTTCATTGAAACTCACTCGCGCGACTTCCGCCCCGCACTTTTACGGGCCAGAGAGGGAGTGTGGGCGAATTATGACGGATGGTGATTGCTTGGATCTCGATATGCGCATTGATGAAGCTGGTATTTTACAACCCGCTGGCGGCGAGTGCGACGGACCGACTGGGCGAATCAGCAGTGCACTTCGGGAATGGGATGCGACTGCGCTGACTGCGACGCATCAATGGGCAGGGCCAGAACCGATGAAGCAAACCAGCCAGAGGTACCATGTGGCACTGCAGTTTTGGGCAAGAAAGGGCAACTGGTCTCCTAGGGCACGCGTGACGACGTTCTTGGCGCCCCACGAGATGATGAAGGACAAGGCGCTCCACGCGCAGCACGCCCCGCCTGTTCAACTGCAAGGGAGAACAGCAGGAGTGAGATTGCGCACCAAGGCTCGCGATGCCACTCTATTTGCGACGCACTTGCCACCCGAGGGGTGCGCAAATCACGGGACGATTTCCACACCAAAAAAAACATGGCATGGGTGGAAGAGAGGTGTGATGAGACTGGTGGCAGAACTATTTTCATAGTGGGAGGTACACCAAGAGTCACTTTTGGATGCACAGGACGGAGAACAATGAGTTGGTGGTCAGCACGCATTGTTTCTGCTAAACATGCAGCATCACTTGGGCCAGTTGCAATGGGAAACGACAGCGGCGCAGCATTCAGGAATTTCTGCGCGCACAGCCTGTCGTCAGTAGTCACGACTTTTCACGAGCGCGGGCCAATTTACTATTGTGCCAATGACAACAAGGTACGCACGAGCAAGACTGACAACATCGCGATACCGACTGGAGCCCTACCACGCGCGCGACGGCGCGCACCCTTGCGCGGAGTGGCCAAGTAGCTTCAATTTACCAAGGCGAAAGGACACCCATGCCACATTCCACTAGGCCTGGACACTGGGTTAGAATATCATTTCCATTTCATGAGCAGATCCAGGCAGCAGAAGGCAGACAGAGATGTGGACCGCAACATGCTGATTGAGCGCTTTCTGGGAGCATTTGACCGCGACATGAAGACCGCGGCCGACCCGCAGCCAGGTGGGGCACGAGCGGGGATACTTCGGAGTGGCCCAGGCGGACGGCACGGCACTGCCCCTACAGCCGCCGCAGGAGAGCTCGGAGGGGCCGTCACTAGCGGGGGAATCTCGGAGCGAGGACCCAGTGAGCGAGCCGCGGCGGCTGACCCGCAGCCAGGCGGAGCACTAGCGGGGACATCTCGGCGAGGGAATCTCGGAGTGCGGACCCTGATGAGCAAACGGCGGCAGAGGTGTGGGGGGGGTTCCAAGACCGCCCAACAGCAGACCAGACGTGGAAGAGATGGAGCGAACCTGGTAGAAAAGCGATGAAGGAGATCTTCCCAGTCAAGCAGATACAGGAGGACCCTGGAGTGGAAGTCTTTCAGAGATTGCGACGATCCTCGTTGGCAGAGCGGATGCAATCGAGAGCGGGCATGGTAGACTCAGAGGCGAAGTAAAGGCTGGAGGAGATCAAAGTGGAGCTAGCGCGTATACAGCACGCGCTTCGGAAGCATAGGAACGACCGGGAGGCCGCCGGAGAAGAAAGACCGGCCGAAGAGCTGCGGCAGGCGCGCGAGAACAGCGGCCTCAGCGAGGTGCACAGACCACGCATGGAGTACCAGCGGAATGGGAAAGGGCCAGAGAAGATATATTTTTTTCGGCAAGCACCTGGTGGGACACAGAGGAGCGTCTAAGATAATTGGGGAAGCATCCCCACGATGGGAGCTTGGCGGCGGCGCCACTGGACTTAGAGGAGTACGAGCAGGTGCGCGATGAGATAATCGCCGAGAAGATGCCACTACCGCTGGGTGGAGATGTGAGAGCGCAGGTGGAAAAGGACAAGCGCGAAATCCTGAAGTGCTGCAATAAAGCTGCGAAGAGGATGGTTTCCCCCCCGCGGGGCATCCCAGCGGAACTTGCGTGGGTGACATTGGACCCCGCGGTCAACCTGATGCACCCAGAGCTGCTGAGAAGGAAGCTGGAGGGGCAGAGGATTCGAGCAGCTGCGCAACGCGAGGACGAGGAGGATGTGGCCAAGTACAGCCCCCTCCACATGTACAAAGTAGGCAGGGCGATGCTACGGCGGACGGGGCGGGGGGCAAGCAATGCGCGGGGGCGGGCGGAACGAGCTGAAGATGGGGAAGCGCTGCGAGCGAGCGAGAGGCAGGCGTGCCACTCAGGGGGGCGTGAGAAGGCTGGGCTGGGGTCGACAGCGACGGGGGCCGACGCAAGTCTGGAGCGCGGGAACAAGCCGGAGGACATCTTCGTCAAGCGTCGCCGGTCTCCAGCCGCGCCGTCGGGCCGGCGCTGGTGGGCGTCTCTGTCCGTGGAAGAAGGCAGTGACAAACAAGGCATTGGGGGCAGAAAAGTCACGCGCGCGCATTGCTCAACGGGGGTGGCTCTTCACAAGGGGACCCATTACAGAGGACAGGCACCGCGCCACCCTTGCTGGGCACAAGGCGGCTTCGGAATATGTCAAGGGACAGTGCGATAGCCTGCGTCGAAGCTACGCAATGGAGAGCGAGACAGGCAGGGATCAGCACCATTTGCCAGCACCTGCGCCTGCGCCAACCCCTTCGAGCACGAAGCGCAACCCCCCGCTGGCCTCGGCCTTTGCCGCGTCGAAGGAAGAGGATCAGCCCTTCGCAATCGAGGCAATGCATTATTTTGCGGTGAATGGGATGAGCTGACGACCAGGTCCACGCGCCGACCGCGCATGGAGCGCAGATGGGATGTACTTTGCGCTCGCGACAGTTTAATGATACTTACAATATCCACGCGGGACATTGGCACCAAGAAGGGAGGGGGAAGGACGAGATGCAAACAGCGCGCGGCACACTGAACTCGATAACGGAGAGGGAGCACGACCTCTCGCTCAACACGCGCATGGACGACA